TTTGAGACACATTTATGCAATTATACATGAAAAATATGTATTGTATGTTAAAATGACGTACTTCATTACACACTTGTTTTTAGAGTGTAATATACAATATTAAATTATTTACGATATTCAGATATTATGAAAATCATCGATATGATATCCAGAGGCAGAAGGTGGTAGCCTTAAACGATCTTTAATGCCGTTTACACGTGCACGTGCTCATTTGCGATACACAAAGTCACGTTTAATATTCAACAGATACTAGCGTCACAAAAGAGATAGGGAATAGAGAGAAAAGCGCATACAAATTTTTAACACTCGATTTAGCGGATGAGATTTTATGTTTTTTAATGTAATTTTGAATTATTTTGACAAAATGTGCAAAAAATAATTTAAAGTTTAAAAATTTTAGTGTAACAATTTTAAACTATATGAAAATAAAAGAAAAGTAAGCAAAACAAAAAATAAAATTAAACGATTATCATCAAGTTTTAATAAAGATTTTCTGAAAACATTAGAAATTTTAAATTTTATTTTTCTTAATTAAAAAATAATTATATAAATTAGGAACAAACTTAATCAGAAAGAAAATTAGAAATAAATTTGTATGAATAAAAATATGTATTTTTAATATTATTATGGCGTAAATATAAAATGTAAAAAATTTGATAAATTTTATAGGAAGCATCCCAGTACTTTATGGAAAACCGCATTCCAATCAAATGTTTAACATTCTATTAACGTACGCGCTTACACATAATATTAACACATATACATACATTTTTTGTACATTAATATATGTATAAACGGATCTAATTGCACCTAATTAATTGGTCTTTATGTTCATAAATATTTTATAAATGTTTGATCTTTAACATTGCAGACGTGACTACAAGCATAAAATTGTAGAAGATTGTAACAATGTCATTCGATTACTTTGAAGAAACGTGTTGAAGATATATATGATGAACTCTTTGCATAATGATGACCGCGTAACAATTTTTCCAATTGCAAAAAATGAAACACTTATAAAAATTAAACGAAAAGATCGTGGCCTTTGTTTAAAGGCTATAATTAATTTCTATGTCGTCAATGGAAGCTTACAAGAGCGTTAAGATGTTTATGCAAAAATTAAACGAAAAGATCGTGGCCTTTACTCAATGCTTATTATTAATTTCTATGTCGTCAATGGAAGTTTACAAAAGCATTAAGATGCTTATTTTATGTGCTATATTATAAAAATGAAGAAAGTAGAAAAAATTATAAATAAATATCCACACATTTTGTGAAACATCTTAAGAATAGTTTCTTTGATATTTATAATATTTGAATAGTTTTAGGAAAAAATATATTCGAAATTTACATGACCGAGAAACTTGAGAACAAAAAAATTTGTACATTGTATATTTTACTGACAATTTCCACAATATCTTCTTCTAGAAGTTGTAAATTTATTCAAGAATCTACAAGTAATATTGACATAATTGTTGAAAATTTTAAGAAAGAAAAGAATTGCGGTTTAATATTATAATATTATCGATGAGATGCTTGCATTTTTGCAGCATCTACAAATAGATCGATGAGTTAATCGTTTCTTAACATGAGGCATTTGCGAAACAAATTATGCTAATTTGAGTCTTCGTGGTCGAGGAAAAGAAGTTGTAGTGCCATCTCTTGGAAGACACACCTAACAGAAACCTTAGCTTGAAAGATACACTTGGGGATAAGCATTCGCGATCTTGATATCAAACATTGAGGACGATTATCGTGCACTACTTACTCTAGTATACAAAGCGTGTACTTTACCAACTCGGCAACATACTTTCATTTTCGTATAAGTTCTCGTTTTTACTACAAAGATTGAAATAGCTTCGTGTTTTTGAAATAAAGAAAAGTTCGAAAATTTTTTTCATTAAAATTTAGTTTAAATTCAACAAAATTTAAAGAAGCATTAGAGGAAAAGTTTTGGCTTAAAATAAAGATTTTAGTTAAAATATTTTTCTTTTTTTTATATAAATCAGTAATGTAGAATTTTGTGGAATTAAATTCACTCGCGTGAATTAAGGTAGTGAACATATATTTATCGAACAAAAATTTAATTACAGTAATATCAACTGTTAATTAATGGACATAATAAATTAGTGTTGTGGCGCCATTATTAAATAAATGATTGTCGTAAATTTGTGTCACGCAAAAACACAACTGATGCTGAAAATTTCAATTTAATAAAATATATACTATAATATTATGATGACATTTAAAGTAGCTAGACATTTGAAATCTGTCGTGAGCATCCGATAATCAGACATCGGACAATGAATCACATTTAGTTCCGCGCTTTTTAGCATAATGATATATATTGCCAAAAAAATATAAAATAACACACATAAAACACATATGTTGTTTGTGAGACGCATTGACGTGCGTTACTTCATTAAACATCTTTTTGGAGTTCCATGTTTTGTTTTTATGTTATCGTAAAATTCGGTTTTCTAGCTTTGAATTACATGGAGATACGTGGGCTTTATTTAAATTTTATAGTTTTATATTTTTAAATATTAGAATTTTTGGGACACAAAATATCATATGCGACTATTTGTAATTGAATAGATATTTTAAATTATTAATTATTAATTATTATATACAATTTTTATGATTAATAATAGCACATGCGTTTAAACAGAAATAGCTAATAATAAATTAATAAAGCATTTTCGAGACTTTTTCGAGAAATACTCGAAAATTTAATTCCTAGCTTAAAGTGCATTTAAAATAGTTTATCTTTATATTTTTTTAGTTCTTTTAAAATTTCTTTACATTGCATAGATTTTTGCTGAAATTGTAGAAATTTATTTACATATCATCTTTTGACATTTTTTTTATATATAATATACATTCTTTAATTTGCTATTTAGATTTATTTATGCAAATCTCTTTAAATTTAGTTTTTTTATAATTTTTTATAAATATTATTCATGAAATTTTTTATATTTTTTAATATTTTAAAATACCGACTTTGTTTTTATTTAGGAATAGGTGTATTTTTAGAGCAAAAGAAATCTGTCCATCACCTAAATCGTGCCGCAAAAACGCTCTAATAGCCGAGGATGCGTTACGTACGATCGTGCGTGCATTCGCTTGCGTTTGTCCTTTCACTGTATAATGTTGCAGTCAAGCAAAGCGCGCAGTCTGGTCTCTGGCCATTGCCGGCCACTTTCACGCACGATTGCGAACTCGGCCCTGTCGAAGTAAGAAGTAAGCCGAGTAATGTGCTGAGTGTAAGCTCCTCTCTATACAAAACTTGCGTTTATAAAAAAAACGCTCCGACCGCACGTTACTACGCGAAGTAAAACTCGTGTCTTCAAATAGCTTATGCGAAAATAAATTTGTTTTCTCGCAAAATAAAAATAATTATAAGTACGTGAGAAAAGACAGGATTTTTTGCGAATTAAGACTACAGAAAATAAAATTTATGTTTGACATACGCGAGATACAAGATGCGAGCGCGACGATCGTATAGAACAGCTCGATTCTCGTATATAAGAGGCTTCTGTTCCTTTACATCTATTTATCATAAAACGACTATCAGTATTCAAGGAGAATTTGCGAATTCTTTGCATGCCCAAGTTCTTGCAACAGATTACAAAATATCCCTAATGCGCGTTAGAGAGAGAAACAGACTCCTGGCTACTGCTCTTGCTACTTTACTCCTTATTTTACGCGATGCTGAAATGCGTGCATAATGCACCGAAATATCGCGCAATCGAAAATTCCTGGGAATTATATATGCGTAAGACAAGTGCCAGGAGCTCTTTTAGAAATCCGTCGAAGAAAGTTTCGCTGGACCGTATAAGATATTGTGTGCGCCCCGGCGTAGATATAATACATGAATTTCGACGTATAATTAGCCGCTCTCCAGAAACGAAAACCGATAATGCCGATACTCACGTGTGTGTATGTGTGTATTGCGCTGCATGTGAGCAAGTACAGTAAGTTTCTCTCCGGAGCATAATCTCTATGTATAAGAGAAGAAATCTACGGACAGCCGGCAAGAAAGAGAATTTGCTTTTAAAAATATGCACTCCAAAAAAAGCGATACACTTAAAATTTAGAAAAAATTTGCCAAATTTCAAATGACAATAACTTTGTTAATAATAAAGATAGAAAGGTTTCTGAAAAATGAAAATAAAGCTTGGAATTTCTACTTTAAGAATCTATTATTTCAATGCTGCGAGATAAATTTATGAAAAATGGCGGATGACAAAGCGAGAGCATGCAAAAATATAAAAATAATGGTCCGAGTTTATTACGGTACATGGCGTGAGTTAAATGTAGCAACTCAATGGGATGAAAAGCATATTATAATACAAAGTCTCTCCTTTAAAATGCTTTTTTATTCATCTTGATACGATGATTTTTTGCCGAGATATTCGCATTTGAATAAAAAAGCAGCTTTTTACTTTAAATGCGAATAACTCTGCGAAAAATCACCGTATCGAGATGAATAAAAAAGCATTTTAAAGGGGAGACTCTGTACTATTATATGCTTTTTATCCTATTCAGTTGCGACATTTGACTCACGTCATGTGCCTTGACAAACTCGGATCATTATTTTTCAAATTTGCATATTCTTGTTTTGTCATCCGCCATTTTTAATAAATTTATTCGCAACATTAAAATAAATAGGTTCTTAAATTAGAGATTCCAAGCTTTATTTTCATTTTTTAGAAACCTTTCTATCTTTATTATGTACAAAGTTATCGTCATTTGAAGTTTGGTGATTTTCTCCCAAATTTTAAGTATACCGCTTTTTTGGAGTGACTGTATAATCGAAAGTCATACCGAGCACTTTTAATTTTCACGGAATTTCATTATACGCCTCGTATTTGCATGAAACTTTCTACAGTTTAACATCAGGCGAATTAATTATGTACATATATGCGCGATTCGAGAGATCTGGAAGATTTACTTCCGCTTCGATAAATAAATTTGGATGAATCAGAGAGACTCACCCGGGAAGTCCGTCGCTCCAGCTGAACATTCGTTTTATCTTCGCTCGTTGCTCCCGCTCCTCATCCTGGAATCCCTTGTTGTCCATTGTAAACGCCTTTTACCTCCGTGCAAATCCGTGCTTCACCTCGCGTAGAAGGCCTTGAAGCGGCCTGAGGATTCTTCGCGGGGACACGCGCGAAAGAGTGCGATTGCTGATTCAACAACGACGGTGCATCTTTTGTTTCCACTTTAAAACACGTCACCTGGCACGATTGACGCGCTGAAAGTTAAACAGATTATTGGAGACTTCCTACTTTGGTGATGTATCGTGCGCGATAAAGCGATACTACTGAATAATCAAGTGAAATTCTGCTTTCATCCCGATATTCTTTATTCGAAATACACATGTATATGATATTTTTGCTGGTCGTAATCGAAACGAATATTTTCGCGTCATCAGCGAGAAAATATATTACGTAAACATTGACAAAAATTTTGTTGACATTTGACTTGAAATATTTTTGCATATAAATTTCATGACACACTGACTGTTGACGTATGTCGCGTATTTGTTTCCTGGTGGATTTTTCCTTTCATCGCGGGAAAATGTCACACAATCGTTTTATAACGAGTGCACGCTCATTCATAACAATAGCGGAAAGTGAAACTTTAAACGCGACTTTTCATCGCAGTCGCGCGAAGTGTGCACGCTCGAGGTCATTAGGAAGAAAGCGTGGTATATATAACGAACTGTCGGCCATGGAATAGAAAATGCGGCCGTGCCGTTTTACTGGGAATAACGATCACTTTACTTAGCTTGTTAGACTACATCTCGGTCGTCACGGGGATAGGATGCAGTAGCGAGAGTACATGATTGAGCACACGGCAATCGAAAGTAAGAGATCGCGAATGCGTGCCGTGATCCAGTTTATGGATGTTACTTAATCGTGTACCGTTACCAAGTGGAGAGAGAACATTTTGAGATTGCTAATAAAAATACTAACATTTTATTGCATTGTAAAAATAAAGAAAGTTAGACAAAATATTATATTATATATAAATATAAATGGCTAATATAAAATAATAAATTAGTAAAAATTATAACGCTCTTATATATTGAAATAAAATTGTAAAATTAATGTCAGTACAGGCCAACTAAAGAGCATAAAATTATTCGGATGTTAATGAATATTATAAATTTTTATTTTAAAACCATCAAAACATAATAATACATTAAATCACAAACGTTTCGACTGTACGCAGTCTTCTTCAGTGGAGTCATATAATATTAGTCAATTATAAAATTTAAAAAAACATTTCGACAATGCTAATAATTGCAATTCTTACTGTTCATTATAATCATATAAAATTATTTAACTCAAATTATTTTAATAATATTTATTAACATCAGAATAATTTATGCTCTTTAGTTGGCTAATATAATCATTTAATTTTCTGTTTGACATTTTGATGAAAAAAAATCAAGACAGCTAAAATCCTAGAAAATTAGTTGCAGTTATTATTTAGAATAATCAAAGGCTTTCGACTATTTCAAATATTTGAAAAAGTAGTGAAGTGATAGATGTTGAGAGTTGCCATCGCAACGTTTATTCTTCACGATCGAACAGATAAAAGGTTCGTTAGCTGTTCTATTATGAAAAAATATCCTCACGTGGTTCATTGTAGTAACGTGCCACAATAATTCTTACAGCATGAATGACGCGCAACTATAACGTTATCTCACACTTACACACTATATAAGCGACTCATATTTCTCTAGTGATTCATTCATTAGCTCAGGTATCTCATTAATAACAGAATTATTAGCTTCGGTGCTCAATAATCTTTTTCTGCACGGAGAGAATTTTCTCTTAGACTTTACCCTAAAAATCATGATAATCGTGAGACGATATGGTACTGAAAGAATTTTATAAGTTTCTCTGATTAATATTTACCACAATAAAAATATTACTACGCACATAGTAAAATTAATCGAACATATTCTATATCTTATTGTGGTAGATATTACTTTTTTATTGTGGTAAATATTAATCAGAGAAACTCTTATAAAATTCTCCCAATACTATATTGTCCCACGATTACGATGATTTTCAGGGTAAATTCTAAGAGAAAATTCTTTCTGTGTGTTACTGCACTCCGTGAATTGGAGGCGAGATGAGATGAAGACGAAAAGATTCGTTGCAATAAAATTTCAAGGAGAAAATTATTAAAGTAAATTACATCTAATCACATTGTTCTATAATTAATCGAAATATTCCACCGATCGCAAATGCTCCCGCAAAAAATGAGGCCGAAAGAAAAATGTGCGCTCCAGTGCTATACGCAGCCACAGCACGACCGGATCTGTAGTATGTTGCAAGAATTTTGAGAGGACTTTGCGCGCGCGTTTACCTTGACGCGCATCGGTATTTCTCTGCTCTCTTTTTCTCTTTTTTTCTGTTAAAAAGCAGCGGGAATTACACGACGACGAAAAGACATTGCGAAGTTTCTTCTTCTAATCTATTGAACAAAATGCCCCGGACGTTTTTTGTTTAGTTTGAAAGCGCCGGGAAAGACTGATCGCGAGAGAGAGAGAGAAGGAGAGATAAAGGATATCTCGAATGCGCCAAAGGGACATGTGGATTTTGGTCGATTTTACTTCGAGAAGCGAAGTCGCAAAGTCGTTAAGTCGCCACTGTAGAATGCAAGAATTATTAACAAAACAATGGAGTAGGATTGCCATCTTTAGCTGAACTTGATCCAAAGACTTTCTTCGAGACTTTCTCGAAATATACGCTTACTGAGAATATCCGTCAAGAAAATATATAGTCTTGATTTTTAATTTATACTTTCGTATTTCATATTATATGTACTTCTCTTTTTATGTTTTATACTTTTTTAATAGTTGTTGTATAATTTATGACTTTATTTGATAAATCACTCTGTTTTACGCAAAACAAGAATTTCATGAAAAATCGTTCTTTTATTTGAAGTTCAACAATTTGCACATCAGAAACAAAGAAGGACCTTTTCGCATATAAGTGTACGTAGTAATGTATTTCATAAGTGTAATCTAAATAAAATATTCATTCACAGTTTAAAACATAGAAAGAGAAAAATCATAACTCAAGTGTTCCTGATGATTATAATAATTTTCTTCTAATTAAAGAAAGCGAGAATAGCCAGATCAAGTGCAAGTGTGAAGAGTGAAAAAAAAGTGTTATTGGACATATATTTTTCTCTTTTTATCAAATCCTTATACTAAAATATTTTACGAATGTTATAAAGAATATTTCATCTATTTATACTACGTCTGACTACTTATATTTACGATATCTGTGTAGAATATATTTCGGATTGTTACAAAATGTTTTGAAGGATCGATCACCTCTTGACACAGATATATCTTTATAATTCTAATTAATATGCAATTATTAATTTCAAAGAAGCGCTGAATGTTCGCGTGCGGTTAAGAAACGCGATCTTGGAAAATAAAATCCCATTACCGCAAAACCACACGGCACAATGATTATTTCTAGACAAATGGAAGCTCGAATTGCACGAAAATGTGACAATCACTTCGCACCTTCGCTGGCATCATTTTTGTTCATTAAATAAAATAAACGTCTCTGTACAAATTGTAGTGATCTCTTGAATCCATTTCCTACGTGACATACATTGTTCGAGTCAAACATAATAATTTATTATTACGGGGCGTTGACGCTTTTAAAAGGTGTTTTATTTCCTAAAATTCTTCTTTAAAACGCTTTATTTAAAAATATTAATTTTTCGAATGCGCCTTTTTCTCGTTGCACACGATGATTCTTAAATGAGATGGACCGCAAGCTGTCACCCGGCACCGGTGCATTGTGCAAATGGGAAGTGCAGCGTGTGCAATTGTAAAAGAATGGTCGCACGTGCTCTTAGAGAGAGAATGAATGAATTATTCGTTGTCACGCGACTCGGTGCGACCGTTGTGAATAATTAGACTACAATTTGTTAACTCGCGATTAATAAACAAATCACGTGAAAATCATCGTATAATATATAGACATAACTAAATGTCTCGTAACGCAGATACTTCGTGAATCGTTGTACAGACTTAATCACGTGATCCGATGGACTTTTTTTAATATTTGAACATTGTCACATGGATATTATATGTATAGAGTCAATTATCTAGTATTATATAAGAGATTCTGTTTTTCATGGCAATGACAAGTATTATAATTTCTTATGTAATTTGTTATGTTTACACATATACGAATTATAGTAATATTAAATAAGAGATTCTACAAAAATAAATTCTTTTATTCCGAGATAGATAATATACGCACATATAGTACGCGAAAAATAAATCTGTACAATTTCAAAGATATAACGATACTTTAATAGTTGTAATAATTTATTCTTACAATTTTTACACGTCAATGGCTGCATTCTTTAGATAGTTTATAAATAATTACATAATCATACATATATATATATAGATGCGTCGACAGCTAATTAACAAGTTACCTTCAAGCTTATTT